GCCACGAGCTTTCAAATATTCCCGCCAGTGGCTCTGCAATGATGTCGGCCAGTGCCTTCAGCACCCTTGGATGGAGCTCATCCGGGTCTGCTGACTTAAAGGCATCCAGTTCTTCCAAATGACTCTGCACCATCTCAGGGTCTACGTATGGTAGTCTGGCGCCTTGCTGCTGCCTCTCTACAACCCCAGTGAGAGACTTGTCGTGCCCCTCACTTAGGAACACTGAGGCAAAGAACTCGTTGAGGAGTTCAGCCTTGATCCTCAGCTCCATGGCAGCTTTGGCCCATCTAACTGCCTCCCTACAAGCATGAGCAGAGGAGGTATATTTGTCTTTGGTGATCTCTCCCAGTGCCACTGCTGTCCGCCCTGCATGCAGCTCAGCCCAGCCCCCCACCAGGAAGAGCCCGGTGCAGCCCCAGCTGGCAGTGGCATTCCACCCTGCCCAGCGCAGATCTGGGGGCACATGCCCCTGTGCCCTCCCAGGGTGTGTGCAGCAGTGGGAGCCACCCCCTCCTACCCCCCCGATGAGCTGCAGCTTTGTCTTGCACTGTGCCCTAGCTCCTGCTGCTGCATGTACCCCCAGGAGGGCATGAGGGGCTGGGCCGGGCTGTGCTCTGACCAGGCGGCAGCAGTGCTGGGAGGGGGCTATGGGAGGGGCTGCAGCCACCCCAAGATTCATGTGTCCCTGGATCTGTGCACGGGGGGCGGGCTGCAGCTGTGGGCTGGAGCTGGCATCAGGCTGTTCCTGGTGGGGCTGGGCTGGGCTGCACTGGGGGCAAGTGGTGGCAGTGCTGGGAGGAGGCTATCAGGGTGGCGGGGAGCTGTGGTAAATTTTGGAGTGGCTGAAGCCCCTCCTGTAGCTCCCTCCCAGCCTTGCTGCCGCCCGTCCAGAGTGAAGCCTGGCCAAGCCCCTGCCGGGAAGAGCCTCAGCCCCAACCCCAGCCCACAGCAGCATCCCGCCTATGTGACTCTGTGCTGGCTGCTTGCAATCAGTCTTTCTTCCTCCAGATGCTTACAAATGGCCTTCCTTAGGATATGTGCCAGTAACTTCCCAGGTACTGAGGTGAGGTTAACTAGACTAGTTCCCTGGGTCCTCTTCCTTGTCTTTTTTAAAGAGATGCAACACATTGCCCCTTTTCCTGTGTCCTATCTGCCAGATGCTTGGAGTGATGGCCACCAGTAGCAACCACTATAGTTCTATTGGCATGATAATGCATTACTGGACTAGAAAGAAGATCCTTTTCCTGTTTATTTCTGTGTTAGTAATAGACTGCACAAGTCTTGGCTCCTTTTATTTCAATAAATAGTAAATAATATGCTCTTTAGGATTTGCTTTTAGGAATGAGAGAGCTACTTAAGCTAGTAGTGAACGAGGAGTGTTACTATATCAGTGCTTTACAGAGTCAAAGTAAAAAAGAAGAAATATTTAGAAGAGTTGCAGTCCCCATGGTTCTGAGGGCCTGTGAGCTGGTAGTGACCCCACCAGTTGGTTTTGCATGAGTCACAGTTATACATCTTGCCAAGCTCCCAAACAGATAATTTATTCTGAGCCTTCCTCAGCAAAGGCCAAACAAACAGAAAACTTGGCCTTTTCCTTCAGGTTTAATAAATAAAATAGCCTCCTTCTTCAGGCTGTAAATCACACCTATATTATTCTCCTTTCAGGCTATTAAAGCTTCCACATGCTCCTTCTGCACCCTTACTCTCTTTCAGCTTGCCCCTTTTAATGTTTCCAGCTGGGGATCTGCCCAGTGGCCTGATCCCTTCCTCCTGTGCCTCATTAGTAGGCAGGGCTAGCTGCATCTTCTAGGTTACATGGTCCCTTCGGAGAACTGCAGAGATACATTTTTCTCATTAAAGTCCAATACTATATACTCTGTATATTTTCATTGTGAAATTTTCACTTCACTTTCAGGCATTATGGATTGTTTGGCCTTTAATTTACTTATGGTTAATGTCAAAGGAATAGGTTGAAGAATTACATGTTTTAATCTTATGACATAACTTAGCTGAGCTGATAATTGAAACCCATATTATTTGACCACGTGCTTTACAGCACAATGAGCTAGGACCATCAATCCAAACTGGCAGAAGTAATAAACGTATTCCCATGTTTCCCCATATAGAAATTAGAGGCTGAAGAGATACAGTAACTCATCTGGTCCGTTTCACTGCTGGTGCAAAAGCATCTCCTGAACACACCCAGGTGATTTTGTTAAACCATTTTGTGGCAACCCACATACTGATATATGGGTTGCCACAACTGTGCAACAGTTGAAGGGCTAGTACAACAACTGTGAGTTTAGTGTGTCTGCCTATTGCAAGGTTTCTTGCATTTACCTAAAAAGCATTTGGTATTGGGCCATGTCAGAATACTGGACAAAATAGACTTCTGGTCATCAGTTTCTGTACTTGGCCAGTGTAAGGCTGTGGCTATCTGCCACTATTGAACAGTACTTAAAATTAAAGGAAGTGCAGTCACTGTAAAAATTCTGGATCAAT